CGTTTTCAAATTCTCATCAGATGATCTGAAGTTCAGGTTCTTAACATACACAGAGCGTAACTACATCACAAAACATATCACAACAATTTAACACCTGAATTAGTACATTTTCGGGACTCTAAAGCAACTAAATGAAGCACGGGACACCACCTCATGCAACAGTTCGGGAAAATAATAAAGTCGGCTTAGACATATTGTTTTCCCTTTTTCATTAGAAGCATAGTATCAGCATAGCAATTTAAAGCAATTCGACAGAAATCACAATAGGCAAGTCATTATTTTGAGTAAGCTTCCGACAGAAGATACATGAAACAATTCCAGTAGGCATATAAGAAATTTTACGTGAAATTTCCATGTTTTACAAGGAAAGCTAAGGTTAAGGCTAAACAAAACTAAGTCCAGAAAATAACCTCAATTCTATCAGCGTCAACATCTGCATCAGTAGTCTCTTTGACTTGTTGCTCTAGCAAAGCTCTCTTGACATCATGTCCACCAACAACTTCATTATCACCAACAGCTGAAGTTTCACTGAGAATATTACCAGGTGCCCATTCCAAATATAGTGGGGCATCCCTGCGGATAAGAGGATAATATAATCAACTTCACAATAAACAAAAACCGACCTGAAATTGGAAAAATGGAATTCAAAATCTCTAAGCTTAAATCATTAAAAAATCTTTAATGTTATTCTAATATTTAAGTATCCACTAAATGGAATTAAGAAAAAGCAAAAACACACCCATCTTTACAATCCAAGTCTTCATCCCATAAAAAATAACAACCAATTTAGTTGTGATATCACTCGACATACGTGGCATCGTGATCTTTCAAGATTCACTTGTGTTCTCCATTTTCATTCAATAACCTGTTCTATTTCGTCATAGTCTTAACATCTTAATAAGGTACCATCAAATTGGATGCAATAATAGTACACACAATGTGATACAACAATTTGAAAGCGCTAACAACTAACTGCTAAATCAACTTACTTGTACCGCTTGTATGCTAAACCTCTGAAAGCTGCCCGAGCGTTAGCAGGTTCTAGAAAGATAACCTGGTTGGTATCAAAAGTTCCAATGAGAAATATATATGACATATTATGGGTAAATTGAATATTGTAAGATGCTGCTTTTACATCGCACAAATGTTTTTACATCGCACAAGGTGTATCCAGGAAACCGCCAGTGAAGCATGATGAAAGATAGTTGCATTGTTCAAGTTGCGATTACAATAAAATCAGCAAATTTTCATATCTATGTGTCGGAGTCATTAGACATTGTTCTTGATCACACAAGGATCAAGCAAGTACCTCTATATTTCGGACTCATACCAATACTACATATCGCCAAACTCAACTAAAACCAAGCCATTTGCCAGGTATTTCAATGTCAGCCCAAAACAAAGAATCATACAACCAAATAAATATACAAATACTAGTAAGGTAGTTTGTTGGCATCCAATGAATTCTGAGCTTCAGATTTCTATCCGAGAACCAATAGTTATCCAATAGTTATGATTCTTGCTTAATAGCGTAGACCAACTAATGATTAATAAAATGGTGAATCAAAGAGTTCTTAAACGTGAACATACTTTGTCGGAAATAAGTTAAAACAACGAAGGATCCCGTATGCAAAGAAAATATATTAAACTTTAACCTTGAGCGACGTTAACACAATGCAGAATTTAAAAAAAATGTCGCATGAGCTGAAAAAACAGGACACAAAATAACAATGAAAAGAAAAAAAGGAAGTCAGTCCATACCAAAGCCATGGTTTTAGTAGGAGGCAAAATGATTTTGTCCAAGCTGCCAAATTTCCCAAACATATTTGATAATTCACTTTGAGATGAACCATAAGGTAAATTCTTCACTAATATAACATGGTTGCTTCTTTTAAGACCATCAGTTTTACCATCAGCAAACTTCTCTAACGAGGAAATATTAACCCCTGCACCTGCGAGAGATTTTTTTGTCTCAGCAATCACTTGAGTCTCTCCCATTGCTATTCTCACAGCAAGATCATCATTTTCTCTATCTAGTAGTTCACTTTTACTGACACCACTTCTCCGTGCAATGTATTCGACAACCTACAATATGAAGGGTTAGAAGAGAAGAGAAGATGATAGACCATCCAAAAAATTTAATGGACAAACCTGTGAAGTTTTACAAACAGTGGTCGTCAATTATTAGTTCAAAGGGAAGAAAAGAACATTAACCGACATTAACCCATAAACTTTAACATAGAAATAGGATATAGTGGATCAAAACTCTCATGCTCTTGTAACCCAATCCCACAGTTATAGAATGAGTAAAAAAAGGGTCCAGGACAGGAGATAAATTTTATCATGGATATAAACCGGCTCTACTTTTACCTTTTCTTCCATATTCTTAAGAACACCAATTTTATTGAAAAGGTTTTGCGGTCACTAGAGGGGCAAATATATATGGGGTATCAAGCCTAATATTTAGTTCGCTGACTTATACATCAGAAATTCTCCAACTTACAGTATCAGGGCGCATAAATAAACTATTCCATGCCCGTGTATTTCCAGAAGCTTCTGATGCCTTCCTCTCTGAAATCTTTTGTTGCTTAAACATTTTTGAAGACAGACTGTGTCTGTAGAATGAGATCCAGCATAAAGATAATATTTATGCTATGACTAACTCCCATTAATTAACAGAAGAAATGTTACTTGAAAATCTGTAACCAAAGGCATACTCTTGCATATCAGGAACATATTTTTGTTTAGCAGGCATGACATGCAATAACCTTCCTTGAAAAATTGAACTGTCCATCTCTTCTAATGCCCTGGAAGAAAAAAAAACACATAATATCAGGAAGGGAAAGGACAAACTATGGCAACTTTCCTATTTGCAAATCTGCATGCACAAGAATAGGAGCGCATATTAAATAAATTAAAATTATATTTGAAAAAGGTCGAACTGACCTCAGCCAAAAGAAAATCACTAAACAAGTATATTTAGTAATGGTTAGCCCTGAGGTTTACAATAGATCATTGTACTGATTTCTTGCTTGAATATAAATATCATTGGAACTTGAATTCTTCAAATCATAGACATCAGCATGATCAGTAATAGTGATACCAACTAAGTTTTTGAGTCGGGAAATGAAATAATACCTAGCAGCAGATTCTGGGAGTGCAAAGAGAACATAAGCAAATCCCTTGGAACGTCTTGTGTCTTTGTCAATGAAAATATGGACCTGAGAGATGGTCCCATATTTACTGAAGTGATCTTCCAGTTCCTCCTCACTGCGTACATCAGGAAGTTCCGTGAAATGAAAATCACAAACTGAATAACGGATAAAAAGATGGGGCATGAAAATCACAAACTGAATAACGGATAAAAAGATGGGGCATGCAAGACATTAATATCATAGAACAGGTTGTCCTCATATGGGCCTGAATAATATGGTACATACGTGGTAGTGTAGGGAAGATTACGGATGAAGAGACGACCAGATTCTAGAACTTCATCATTCTTGTTTTTTGGACTTGATGAAGGATCACCTGAGCCATTTATTCCACATTCTCCAGAAGAGCCATCATCAACCTCGCTTTTGGGATCATGGTTACTCTTGTCCTGAGAGTCACTGCAGTCATCATTATCATCACCATCACTATGATCAGTGCCATCAGAACTACCCTCACTGTCGCTTGTTTCTGAATCTGACCATTTATTTTTAATTCTGCTCTTAAAGTAATCCATGTCGGATACAAATTCATCATGAACCAAAATATTTGGTTTTTCTGGCTCTTGTTTCTCTGATAAAACATTTCCGTCTCCCTTAACTTCCTCAAGATCAACACTCTCTCCATTTAATTTACCATCATGCCCTTCTGCCATATGAAATTTATTATCTGTTGCTACTTTGCTTTGCTGAAGAGAGGGGGCTGCAAGTGTATCGTTTGCCCACAATTTTGACCTGCTACGATGCTCCATGACCAGAACAAAATTTTGAAGTTTTGGGTCATCGATCTCCTCATCCTTTTTACTCTTCTTACTTGTCCCTTGAGGTACTACAGCTGTAGAAACTTTTGAGCTGGTTGTTGTCTTCTCTTTTTCTGAACCAGTTAATCTTTCCTCTTCTTCAGAAGCATTCTCTTTCTTCTTCTTCAATGAGTGTCGACTCCAAGGGCGGGGAATATTGGGATCTCCAACCTTTTGAGCAATTTGGCGACGACCATACTAAAAAGTTACTACATGTTAGTTTTTATGAAACAAAAAAAATCAAGTTTTTTAGCTTCCTCTTGTAATTAAGTGAAGTGTGAACACCATTTTATAATTCTCTACTAATGAACTGTCAATTGCAGATCTTAGAAAGGTCTGCTACATCAGCGATATACCACTAACTAGAACAACCTTTCCATGATGTCCCTTTTGGTGATTGACAAAAGGCAGTACAATTAATTCCCCATTCAATAGAACACATTACAAGCTACAACTGTGGCTATTGACGGTTATAATGTTTGACGAAATAATCTCACCATTACTTCCTACTAAAGTGGTTCCTAATTCAGAAGCTTGAAACTTAAAAATAAATAACAGACCTCACAAGTAATTCTGCAAGTATCCAGGAAAGACTTGTTGAAGTAGTTTGTGGCTTCCTCGGCTTCATGCTCAGTCCTAAATCCAACAAATCCAAATTGCCTGCTCTTCCCATCCCTGAACCAAACCAATGTTTCCTTATGAGTTCCTAAATTACAATTAAAGTGGCAATGTTTGAAGAACAAACTCACTTGGTGCGCATAAGCTTGGCGTCGGTGACTTCCCCTTTCTGGGAGAAGAACTCTCTCAGACGAACCTCTGCCACATACTTGGGAAAGTTTTTCACACATATCCGTGACCTTCCTATCAAAGATAATTAAAAAAAAATAAAAAATCAATTTTAAGCATTGGGGCCGAAGTGAAGCGGGAAGATAGAAAGGAAGAAAATTACATGGTTGGTTTATGTTTATATTCTTTAATACCGAGATACTCCAACGCTGAAAGATGGACTAATTTTCTTACAAAGTTCCCATGAGAAGACCAGACTGATTGACTTCAATCAACGAATTTTGGGGTACTATAATCTTGTCATCCTCAATCTATGAACACCATGAACAAGACAAACAAGGAAATAGTCAGAATGCATTGAATGCACATAGGGGTGGAGATCGGACGGATCGGATCGGATTTGGGTGTTTCGGAAAAATTCCGATTTTTTTCGGAAGTCCAAAATGCCTTCCGATTTGTTCGGAATTCAAGAATCGATTCCGATTTTTTTGGAATTTTCAGAAAATCAGAATTTTTCAGATTTTTCAGACTTTTTCGAGAAAAAAAAATAGTCATTCACTGCCAGCTCACTGCCACCGACACAGTAGCAGAAGATTGGGAAAGAAAAAAAAACTCAAAACAAATATTCTTCAAAGCAACAGACCCAACAATAGCCGAATTGAAAAACAACCCAAACAAATATTCTTCAAAAACAACATAAAGAACGATTCAAGTCTTAAATCATACGAACGTGGGTGGAGGAGCAGCGTGACGAGACAGACCGGCGCTGGTGGTGGTCGTGGAGAGCACGGGCGGCGCTGGTGGTGGTCGTCGATCGGAGAATATTCCTGACAGGTGTTCCAGTGCAAATGCCACTAGCCTGCCGGCGAAATATTTGTTAAAATTTGATCTTAATTGAAACCCCCTCAGCCAAGCCGAGCTAAATTCCAGTATAAATGCTTCGGAAACAAGAAACAAGCCGACCCCACCCTCCCATACCAAAACCAAAATCACTCAAAGTTTGCTGGAAGATGAAAAAATGAAATAAACATGTGATGAATAGAAAAGATACTAGAGATAATACCGTAGAATAGTTCGGTCGGAATCCGGTGCAGAAACACAAACCCTAGATAGCTTGAGAAAAGGGAGACAGTGACGAAACCAAAGAGAGAAGTTGGGCTGGGCCGCATGTGGTATTGAATTTGGAGGAGTTCAGCCCTATCCAACATTAATTCATTATTAATTATTATTTCAAAAATATCTGAATGTTTAGGCCGAAACAAAAATAACTAGTGTAGTAAAAACATCATTTTGACTTGTATGCGCCCAAATTTATTTTATTTACTGGGGATCAATTATATTAAATATATTGAATTCCATTTCTTTTTCTTGAATTCTTTACATCCTTAATATATTGTTCGATTTTCATATAGAATTGTGCGCACAAAAAACGACCAAAATGGCACAAACAACGACCAACCTCATTGATCTTAAGCCGTGTCGATTTGACTGGAAAGTGGTGGTTCGGGTCATGCGACTGTGGAAAGTTCCTAGCAAAAACAATCCAAATGAAATGATCAGTATCGATATGGTCTTAATAGACAATAAGGTCGTTATTTATTTACGCGTTTATTTCGCTTATGGTTAAAACAATATTTTGATATAATTTCTAATGTTTTTTTTAGGGTGACAAGATCCATGCTTCTATAAAATGTAATCCCTTGAAAAAGTTTGAACTTATTGTGAATGAAGGTAATACCTACATATTTCAAAATTTTATGGCGGCTCCAAGCGATCCAAAATTCAGATCAACTCGCCATACTCACAAGATTGTGTTTATTAGCACTACTCGAGTAACTGATTTCCTTGCTGAAAATATTTTTGTTGTCACTTTTAATTTTACGGATTTCCATGATATCATTAATGAATGGGATGATACATGGCTTATAGGTAATTTCATTTTGTTAGATTATGTGTTCCATTAATTTATACCAAAGATTTCAATTTTTGTGTATAACAATTATTTCCTTTTAGATGTTATTGGACATATTATTGAAAGGGATGCTTTGAGATAACTAAACAAAAATGGGCGGAGCCACAAGCTGTTGGAAGTCGGCCTTCAAGACTTATCGTAAGTATCCGTTGTTTAATTTATTATTGTTTATATTTATTTTTATTTCTTAAATGTTCAATTGTTATTTTCAGTCGCAACAAACTTAGATGTGCTCTATCGGACAAATATGCTGAGGAACTGTCCACACATTTGATCAATGACATATCGGATAGCCCTATCATTATTATTTTGCAATTATGCATGGTAAAAAGTTTCAATGGTAAGTACTTACATGTTGATTGGATTAAGTTTAAGTTATTGTTAATGATCTACTTTATTTATTTGCATTGTAGGCAGGAATAGTATTTCCAATGCTTTCCACAGCAGTAAGTTACTAATAAATGAAAATTTAGAGGAACATAGAGAGTACAGAGAAAAGTGAGTTTGTTCAACATAACAAATATTATTTTAAATTTTATTTTATCTCATAATTTGTTGTTATGTATTTGTACATGAATATAGATTGATGATGCAAGCTGGAACATTTTCTCAATCAATTAGTCAACTATCAACTCAGCGGTTCATTGGAATTTCTGATGATTTACTTCAGACAGAACATATGACAATCAGTGATTTAATGGATTACACAAGTATATAACCTTTTGTAGGCTTATTTCATAAATCATATAAGACTAATGTAAAATAATTTTTCAGGAACGCTCTGTTGCGTTGCTTGCTAAAGTAGTAGAAATAGACTGTGAGAGTAAATGGTGGTATCCATCATGCTCAAAATGTTTTAAGAAAGTTGATTGTAATGGTGTTCAATTCTATTGTGAAAAGTAGGGGTGGTTTCGGTACGGTTACCGAACATTTTGTTCAATATCGTGTACCTACCGTATCTTTCGGTATTGAAAAATCATATGAGAGATATTAATATCCCATACAGCTGCCGCGATCCCAGGATACTGTTCAGCTCCTAAGCCGCATAGCTTC